GGTTCAGGAATGCTGTCTCACGCGCAGGCTCTTTTCTCTGGCTGGTGGTCACTTCTCCAGGTAAGCATGGAGCTGTCAGTGTTCTCTATAGGCAGCGTTCTCTCATGCACACTGACACCCGCCACCCTGCATGTGCACACACATGCCTTGGTCACTCATCAGGAGGGGATTTTCTCATATGCTGTTTAAAAAAAAACAAAAAACCATGGATGTAAGAAGCATGTCCATTAAAGGACTGTGAAAATTAATAGAGAGAGGTGTGTGAATGTGGGGGACCTGCGACTGGGGCAGGAATGTGGGCTTTGTCACTGGTCCCAGGGTTGGCATAGCCACATTGCTGAGAGCAAGGCTGCTGTGTGGTGTGTGTGTGTCTGTTTTTGAGTTGGATTAGACTTGTTTATAATTTCTTTAGCATCATTAGTATGCTTGGTCCATCCAAACCCTAGCTAGAGAACACCTCTACATACCTCAAAGATCATTATAATGACATTTATTTCCATTGGGGTACAGCCCAGAGTCCAATAAATACTATTTATTTGTATTGTGGTTGTGCCTAGAGACCTAAGCCATGGATCTGGGCTTGTTATGTTGTACAAACACATTGCTAACAGATGATCCCTGCTCCAAAGAATCACAGCCCAGGACACTTGGTGCAGGACACTCTAAATTAGATGGTACTGCTGGGATAGCTAATGCATTAGGTGAGCAGGGATGCTCAGAGCTCCTAGCAGAGCTGATCTCATTCAGTATAATGGACTTCTTTCTTCAGGGAATGAATGCCTCAGGAAAGAAGTGCTTTTAAGGAAAGATGGGCATTTTTCAGTAGGTTTGACAGCATATAAGCACAATGAGGTCCTGGTCCATTATCTTGCGCTCCTAACAGGACTACAACAACAATGGGCCAGTAGCTTTTCGAAAGATCAGGGAGAGGGCAGGAACTCCGGAGAATGGAAACAAGCGTGCTAGCCACAGTGTGAGGAGTGTGTGAAAGAGACATCTGAATGTTCTGATGCCATGTGTGGCTCTTTGCAGGCCGGATGTTTGGACTGTTGTATTGGTGGATCGGAACTGCATGGTACCGCCTCACCACCGCCGCCTCTCTTCTGGATGTCTTTGTCTTAACGAGGTCAGTGTGGATTGGAACAAGAGATGGAGGGAAGCGGGTTGGGGTGGATTTGAACCTGGATCTGGACAGATGGAAGGTGTGGAGGGAGGGGTACAAAGTCCCCACAGGGGAGGAACCCAGTGAGATCTATGTGTGAAGGACCCTGGTAAAGCTGTGAGGACAAGGGTTAGGTTTTTCTTGTGGCCAAAACTGAGCATGGACCCAAGATGATCTGTTTGGGTTGAGATTCAGGATGTAACTTGCTTCGAGAACTTCCACTTCTTCACTGCCTTGCACTGTCCAGGTGGAGGCAGAAACTCCCTGGGCGAAAGGGCATGCATGGGTAGCTGAACTAATGACTCTTCCTCATCCCCTCTGCTGTCTAGGCGCTATTGGGCTCTGAAGAAACTCCTTCTGTGCCTGTTGCTGCTACTGCTGCTGGCTTCTATTGCTTATGGTGAGTCATTCCAGGCTCCAAAGCTGTTCTCCCTGTTCCCTACCCCCACTTCTGCTCTGGACAGGGTAGCTCTAGGCTCAGGAAGACATCCTGAGTTCTGTGGCAATGAGATGGTCATAGGAGAGCCCACCTCCCTCTGTGCTGTACGTGCGTGTGTACCCAAAGGCTTGCTCCCCAAGGCAGGTTCAAGTGGGCAAGGAACGCTTTCACACAGGGTGAGGATGTTGAGAGGTTTGACGGAGCAGTGTTCGGTAAACACTGTGAGATATTCTGACCTCGCATCCTGAATCCCAATCCTCTGATGTGAGGGAATCCAGCTCCAAAGGACCTCTCTTCTCTCCGGAATAAGTGAAACCCAACCCTTCCATTCAGCCTCCCCTTGTAGCTGTTGGCTTTGTGTGTTCCCAACTTGAAGCTTAAAGATAAGAAATAAAGCAAAACTGAATTCTTTTAACGTTTGAGCCTTCAGGGTGCTTAGAGATAATTTCATTTTGTCAAGAACTGTGAATGACACAGTGAGTGATTAAAATTAAAGACTTTTATTGAATATCAAATGGTTAGTTAAAGTAAACGGACAGTACAGCATGAGTGTACTCTGCATTTATGCTCATGTTCTAAGATGAAATAATGCACCCCAGGGTGGTCAATCCCTGGATGAAAGGAATGGGTGTAATCCTTTCTCAGTACCTGGATGGTAGATAAGTGTACCTATGTAAAAAGGCTAGCATGCTAATTTTAGTATCTCCTGTAACAACACTCCATAGATGCTAATTTTAGTATCTCCTGTAACAACACTTCATAGTTAATTAGCACTAAGCCTGCCTTTTACCATAGCTGTATTTCCACCACTAAATTAAAATACCTTCTGCTTCCTCACTGGCTATTTAATATTAGACCGACCTTTAATTGATATCTGCATAAATGCCATATCAGTGACTATTCATATAGATAGCATTTCCCCCTCCCCCCAAAATTATCAACAGTTTTTTGGATTAAAAAAAACACAGGACTAAAACACATTTACAGCATGATGGGGAGCTATGTCCTAACTCAGTTTGTGGAGTACATGTGGAAAGCCACTATGTGTAAGAATTCCAAAGGGGTTAGCCTCTCCAGTTTTTTAAGGGGTCAGCAAATGGAAAAAAAGTTGAAAACCACTGGTGTAACTTATCTCTAATTTGTCTCTGAGTGGCCTCATTTTACTTCACTCAGATCTTGCCAGGTTTCGCTTGGCTATTGTCAAATATATTTTAGAAGGTAGATATTTTGACTTACTTATGTTTCAGCACATTTTGGTGGGTTACACCCTATTTTAGCAGTCCCAAACTTTATGTTGTGACTAAGGATGTTTAAATTGCAATTAATTAACTAGTCAAGTAGTCATGGAATTTCCACATTCCTCCTTTGAAATGTACAAAGTCCCTGCTGGGGCTCTTGTACATTTCAAAGGAGGAATGTGGAACTTGGGGAAGTCCCTCTGACTCTGGGCTGCACACTGTGTACCTGCTTTGAAATGTACAAGAGTCCCCATTGGGGGCTCTACTGCATTTCAAAGCCATGGAGCCCAGGGTCAGCGAGGGACTCCCCAGCTGATCTTGGGCTCCGCACAGCAGCGGAACCCGGGATCAGCTGGGGAGTGACCCCGGGTTCTGGGGAAATGCCTCTGAGAATCCGGCATCAGCTGGGAGTTCCCAGCTGACCCCGGGTTCTACGTGGCATTTCCCCAGAACCCGGGGGCAGCCGG